ATCATTCAAAAGAAGTATGATAAATATAAAATATAAGACATGAAAATTAATTCCATTAAACCTCCACTGATAGCTTAAGGAAGTAGTATCAAGACAGTATAGTTTATATCATTGTGTCAGGGCTTAATATCAACAAGTATATGTGTAAGAATCTCCACTGAACACAATTAAAAGAGCTCATATCTATCTAATTCAACACTAAATTGATTATACCAGCACTGTTTATCATATTTCACTCATGAAAACAACAATGGTGAAATTCCAGTTATTTTCATCCATCTCAAAATGGCAGGAAAGAAGACAGCATCTTGTCTCAATCTCAATCTTGCGTCATCAAAACAAACTCGACCCCCTCCCAAAAAAAAGAAAAGAAAAAGAAATCCGAAAATTCAATACTCACACTGACCAAACCGAAATGATGGAAAGTGGTCAAAATCTCTACAACTGAAATCAGCCGATATCCTAGTTCCGGCCCGGTAAATAAGGCCACAGGGAAATATATTTCGTAATATCCCAGGTGAAAATATAACCTCTCCAGCCTGAGAAGCTGCTGCACGCAAACTAAACAATCCCATCATGTTGGCTTTGCCTCTCGGCAGTGTTTGCTTGTCACCGAATGGAGACAAACGCAGCCAGTATCACGTAGCCTAGACTCTGTGTCCGTCAGACAGGGTCGAGAGATACATGCCAGGGCTTCAGCGGCACACTTCACACCAGCTCACATCTGGTCTTGACCTCTTAAAGGTCACCCGTGTTCTCAAGACTGCCGGCAACAGGTAGGTGAGTCAAGTATGTACATGTTTACAGCTTGGAGCACAGACTATTAAAGTCATATTGATAGTCCTGCTTTTTATCTCAACTGCTACAAATTGTATTTACTTAAAAGATAGCATTGTACTCTATTTTGCCTATTTCTGTTCAGTGACACTAAAATGGAATTTCTTTCTTTTTTCTTTCGTGTGTGTGTGTGTGTGTGTGTGAGTGTGAGAGAGAGAGAGAGAGAGAGAGAGAGAGAGAGAGAGAGAGAGAGAGAGAGAGAGAGAGAGAGAGAGAGAGAGAGAGAGAGAGAGAAAGAGAGAAAGAATTAAATTAACAGATGAAACATGAAAACAGCATTCAACAATTAATTAAATTAATTGTGCCCTTACTTTGTGCATGAATACTGGTCATGTGACCATGAGAGATACAAAACACTAGGCTCACAGTGACAGTATAGCTATTACAAGTGTAAGCCAATGTTAAACATGGCAAGATTACTTTATGCATGAGTGAGTGAGTGTGGTTTTATGCTGCTTTTAGCAATATTCCAGCAAAATCATGGCGGGGAACCAAACAAATGGGCTTCACACATTGTACCCATGTGGGGAATAGAACCCAGGGCTTTGGCATGATGAGCGAACGCCTCAACCATGAGGCTACCCCACCGCTCCCTTTATGCATGGAGGCCAATGAAGCAAAAACATAACCCTGCAATTGGATTATAACATAGATTCAAATAAACCTATTTATGAATAATATTGTATCAATAACATGTATAATCTATGCAAAGAAAGAAACATATTTTCTGAGATAAACGATTTTTCCTTTGACCTCTACTGCATGTAAACAAAAAAATGAAACAATAAAAGACATACTTCAGACAGATACATGAAAACAAAATATGCATCTTTGAAGTCAATGGATGAAATTCAGATTTATTAAAGGGAGATAACTTTTCGATGCTCTGTCAGTCATCAAGTCACAATACTCCAAGAATCTAAAATCTTCACTGCTTTGTTAGATCATGTTCAATGGATTTCTTATTTTCAAATGTTATTATGTCTAGACTAGACACATCACCTGATCACTTCCTCCTAGCACAATCCCCAGTGTAATCACTATCACCATAATCCAATTATGTCTAGACTGAAAGTGTTGGGATCAAATTCATGTCTCCTGTGAATGTAAAGTATTTTGTGTTCAACATACACTTTATAGTTTCACATCAGAACAGTACTGGTCTCACAGTCTGTCTCACAGTCTCTGAACTACATTAATTCCCCTACTGCCTAGCCCTCCTATTCCGTCTCACAGTCCCTGAACCACATTATTTCCCCTACTGCCTAGCCCTCCTAGTCTGTCACACAGTCCCTGAACCACATCAATTCCCCTACTGCCTAACCCTCCTAGTCTGTCACACAGTCCCTGAACCACATTAATTCCCCTACTGCCTAGCCCTCCTAGTCTGTCACACAGTCCCTGAACCACATCAATTCCCCTACTGCCTAACCCTCCTAGTCTGTCTCACAGTCCCTGAACCACATCAATTCCCCTACTGCCTAGCCCTCCTAGTCAGTCACACAGTCCCTGAACCACATCAATTCCCCTACTGCCTAACCCTCCTTGTCTGTCTCACAGTCCCTGAACCACATCATTTTCCCCTACTGCCTAGCCCCTCCTAGTCTGTCACACAGTCCCTGAACCACATTAATTCCCCTACTGCCTAACCCTCCTAGTCTGTCACACATTCCCTGAACCACATCAGCCCTCCTATTCACACAGTCCCTACTGCCTACTGCCCAGCCCTCCTAGTCTGTCTCACAGTCCCTGAACCACATCATTTCCCCTACTGCCTAGCCCTCCTAGTCAGTCACACAGTCCCTGAACCACATCAATTCCCCTACTGCCTAACCCTCCTTGTCTGTCTCACAGTCCCTGAACCACATCAATTCCCCTACTGCCTAACCCTCCTAGTCTGTCACACAGTCCCTGAACCACATCAATTCCCCTACTGCCTAACCCTCCTAGTCTGTCACACAGTCCCTGAACCACATCAATTCCCCTACTGCCTAGCCTCCTAGTCAGTCACACAGTCCCTGAACCACATTAATTCCCCTACTGCCTAACCCTCCTTGTCTGTCTCACAGTCCCTGAACCACATCAATTCCCCTACTGCCTAACCCTCCTAGTCTGTCACACAGTCCCTGAACCACATCAATTCCCCTACTGCCTAACCCTCCTAGTCTGTCACACAGTCCCTGAACCACATCAATTCCCCTACTGCCTAGCCTCCTAGTCAGTCACACAGTCCCTGAACCACATCAATTCCCCTACTGCCTAACCCTCCTAGTCTGTCACACAGTCCCTGAACCACATCAATTCCCCTACTGCCTAACCCTCCTAGTCTGTCACACAGTCCCTGAACCACATCTATTCCCCTACTGCCTAGCCTCCTAGTCTGTCACACAGTCCCTGAACTACATAATTTCCCCTACTGCCTTGCCCTCCCCACAGTGCTAAAGCCCTAAGTGAAGCAAGTCTAGGTTTCCCTCGGTCCTCCCAACTCACTCCTTTTCAACTTATATGGGTTTATTTGTGAGTGAGTGAGTAAGCTACAGTGGAGACTGGGAATCTTTTTAAACTGGAGTGTAAGTGGCTGAATATTTTTGTTGAAGAGTGACTGTGTGCTGCTGCAGCATTACAGTCAATCACACTTGTTTGATTTTGGAGGGCTTGAAGAAATTGGGATTCTATTTCTACATCACATACAAATTTAGTAATCTAGCAATATTGCAGCAACATCATGGCAGGAGACACCAGGAATTGGCCACACACTTCGTGCAGGTGTGAGACATCAAACCCAGGGCTTCAGTGTGACGTGCAGATGTTTTAGAATAGAAGAATAGAATAATACTTTAATGCCTTTTCAGGAATTTGTGTTACATCAGCAGAGCTACTGACACATTAGAGAGATACCAAACATAGTTACATTCTTATTTAGGTATTTTCACATTAGTTTAAGAGAGATATGGTACTTGGAATAAAGGATGTACGGGCTCTCTTAGTTTTCACAATTGGAGCTTTCTAGCAGCGGCCTGAAGGGAGGAGGTTGTATTCCGAATTTAAGTAGTGAGTACGGTCAGATATGATTTTGACAGCTTGATTCACGATTTGCCGCTCATATATTGATGATAAACATTCAAATCTGACTGCAGCGATTTTACTTGCAGTGTTAACAATTTTGTCTATTTTAGATTTGACCACCATACTACCCAATAAATTATAATTAAATATTTAACCTTAGCGTAATGATAAAGAGTAGGAGTTCAGGTTAACCTTGGTAAGGTTGCTACGTGAAAGGAGCCCCTGATCATCATCTGATTTCTTTCACTCCACGAAAATTATTTATAATTTATTTAACCTCCAGACTAACCAATCACCCCTCAGAAACAGCTAGATGTATCATTGTTCATATCCAACTACTCCCGATCATGAAGATCCAGGTTAGAACTGGCAAGAGGATCAGTTTACTAGACCAAGAGGAATCTTACTAGACTCTGGCTATGGACTAGTGGCTAAACTACTCCTATTCATGAAGATCCAGGTTAGAACTGGTCTTCAACCAGACCTAACTTGGATCTTCACAGGTAAGAAGATCAGTTTACAAGACCACGAGGAATCTTACTACACTGGCTATGGACTAGTGCCTAAACTCAAAGATTTAAAGCTTAAATCTTTCCATCCTCGATAATCTCCAGGGTATACATTGCGATCACTCTCCACTAGACCCTGGATGCATCCACGGCTTGGCCGATGATTTTATTACCTCCCTTTGCAGGCTTTTTATCCAATTAGGTGTCTACACTGGGAAGTTGAGCGAACCAATCACAACTCACCTTCATTTCTTAAATTAGCAAATCGTTTAAATGTGGCAACACAATTGATGCAGAGGTACTCTGAAAGAGGTAGGAGGAGTTCTTTCATATACTTTTGTTCAAGTTTCAGATCTGAGTAGCACTGAGAGCAAACCTTTGCGACTGCAACCGCTATCTTTGTTGACGCTGGCAAGCTCGGATGTAACGGCGGCTTAGCTGATTGGCTGTGAGAATGCGGAGCCAGCAAAGGGAGGTAATATAATTATCGAGCCAAGCCGTGGATGCATCCAGGGTATAGTGGAAAGTGATCGTAACGTATACCCTGGAGATTATCGAGGATGAAATCTTTCAAAATGGTGTACTTACTTTCAAACCTGCCTCATAGTTGTTAATGACTTTGAACATCAACCCAAGACGGATATGGACTTCGTTGGCTCTCTTAAACCCAGGATCAATATACAGCACCTGCTGAAATGCCTTCACGGCCCTGGAAAAACCAAAACACATAATTAACAATAAAGTAACATAAAATAACTAAAACATCAGGGCCGCCTTTCACAAAGCACTAAGGTGATCATAAGTCACTAAAGTAACCTTAGCGCAATGATAAAGAATAGGAGTTCAGGTTAACCTTAATAAAGGTTGCTACGTGAAAGGAGCCCCTGATCATCTCCTGATTTCTTTCACTCCGCAAAAACTATTAAAGGAATTTACAAGGTAAATTATAGACAACTACCCAAATTAATTTGTAAACAAGCGCAAAGGTTAAGTTGACAATGGATTGTGTGGTGCGTCTGATGTCCCATGCTGCTATAGTACAGTGACGACATTGCTGTCATCATCATTCACGACACAGCACATCCCGTGTGTTAACAGATCAGGAGTTTTGACACTTAATTTGCATATGTGTCGCTTGATTTACTAAAGTAATACATGTTTTGTTAGCTGTTTTTAATGCCAAAGTGCAGTCTTTAAATAGTTCAGCCAGGACCAGACAGACCAGTGATTGGCACCATGAACATTAACTTACGACACAAATGGGATTGCGATAAAAGGTATACCAATGACGGTGAACCTTACCATGCAATCGCTATAGTAACATGAGTGAGTGATTTTAGTTTTACACCGCACTCAGCAATATTCTTGCTATATTGCAGCAGTCTGTACATAATCGAGTCTGGACCAGACAATCCAGTGATCAACAATATGAGCATCGATCTACGCACTTGGGATACGATGATATGTGACCATCCGATCCCATTAGTCGGCTCTCACGAAAAGCAAAGGTTACTGAAGATCAATTCCAGCCTGGATCTTCATGGGTTGAAGCAGCAAGGTCCTTGTGTGTATTGTTACATGATTTGTGCAGGGAAAATGCTTGTCACCTTTTACTCAACAACTCAATTCCTCTAGTTCTTGCAATATGTCATTAACCTATTGTTTCGTATATAAAGCATGACAGCCTGTCACAAAGAAAAATCAATACTGGCTTACAAACTTGTTCAACTGAAGTTATGAAGTTTCGTCTGAAGTTATACAAAATGCATGATCTCCCTATCAACTTTCATAAATCCACGGATATATCCATCGTTACTCTACCTCTAACCAGTCCATCTTCCCAAACCCGGCTGACTTGAAACGTCTAACCTGATTACCTGTATCTCACAGACACTGTCTTCATAGACAAGAACCTTAGGCTATTTATCCCTGTTTAGGGCCCCAATTCCCCGACTAATTCCCCGAAACATGGATAAATATAGCACTGGTACAACAAAGTAGTTCAACCATACACCCTGGCCTAATTCCCTTACTTATCTGACTATCAGCGGTTAATTGACGTCTGCTTCCAATGACCCCAACTGACCTCTGCCTCTGATGCAACTACCAGTGAGAGAAGAGACTTGGATCATGATACAATGAATTCTCCCTTGCCAGACAACTTTCCAACAGTGTTCTCTATACACTTGCACAATAATAAAGCTGCAATGTCTTTTACAGTCTTCACTGAAACACTGTCCTGTCACTGCATGACCAAACTTGCAGTCTGTTTATCTATAAGCCACACTTCCATTTGCTTATGCATAAGGATTCCAAAAGACAACCACAGCTGCTTATGAAAGTTCCATTAATGAAAGATACACAAACCCATCAAGATAACAGTGTTGCTAGACTGACTGAGTCTAGTTTTACGACGCTTTTTGGCAATATTATAGCATTATCATGGCGGGGGACACCATTGGGCTTCATACATTGTTCCCATGTGGGGATCTGAACCCTGGCCTTCGATGTGACAGGCGACCACTTTAACCACTAGGCTACTCCACTGCCCCAGTGCGGCTAGACTAACGCTTAGTCCCTGAATATAAATAATTTTGATAGTAACAGATTAATTCATTTAAATTGGAAAGGAGACCCAGTGAGTTGGGATATTCAGGGAACCTGGAGAAGTCTAGACTGGCTTCATAAGGGCTTTAGCATTGCAGGGAGGGAAAGGCATTTAGGAAAATAATGTGGTACAGGGACTGAGACAGACTATTACTCACTCTACTTCAATGTTTCTGAAGCAAAGTGACTCTGAGATACAACTGCGACACAAACCCATCAAAATACCAGTATGCCACTGCTGCTGAACCACACTTGGAGCCATTTAATCTTTTAGCATATATAGCTATGCTCATCAAAAAAAAGGCCCAGGAGAAATGAGTTGGTCTTCAGCTTGTCGTAAGAGGCGACTGACTGGATTGGGTGGTCAGTCACACTGACATGGTTCAAGCATGACAGTGAATCCCATTTTATGCTTGTGGTGTCAATCACTGGACTGTCTGGTCCAGGCACGTATTTACAGATCAACGGCATGTTGACAGTGCACCATCAAATAACTATTGCTGAGTGTGGCATGAAACAAGAAACCCGTCAATCACTGGATTGTCTGGTCCAGGCACGTATTTACAGGTCAACGGCATGTTGACAGTGCACCATCAAATAACTATTGCTGAGTGTGGCATGAAACAAGAAACTCGTCAATCACTGGATTGTCTGGTCCAGGCACGTATTTACAGGTCAACGGCATGTTGACAGATCACCATCAAATTGCTATTGCTGAGTGTGGCATGAAACAAGAAACTCATCAAATCAACTAAATAATATGATTAGTCTTAAGTAGAAATCCTTGATCTTATTTCATTTACATTTATTTTTAAAAATTCCAAAGCAAAGTGACTTGATGCATATCATAAACTGATTTAAAGACTTTTCACATCTTTTTACTTCTATTTATTATTTTTGCTTGTCTGCTCTCATGCTGATTTAGGACCACAAAAAAACCTGACTGACATTTGTAGGAGCTGGCCATAGCAATCATATTTACATTTTTATACAGTACACACAATGTATCATAATCAACAGGCATTAAACAAACCACAGGCCATTTATTAGTATACGAACACATATACCATATCAAAAGATCATTCTACACAGGTAAACAAGTGTGGATACTGTTGTTTTTCCATCATGACTTGGATTAATGCTGATTTATTTTTTCTTATTTTCACCAATGTAGTCCACATATTTGCAAACATGCTGCTGCTGCTGCTGCTGCTGCTGTTGATGCTGCTGCTGCTGATACAACCATTATTACTATAAATAATCTGTAAAGGTTTACAGTCCATATGTTAACCATATTCCAAGCATTAAAAAAACAATGTTTAGTTTGTTTTCTTTATTTTCTTTTGCAGCTTCCTTAGAAGTATACAACCTTAAATTCCAACAATAGATAAGACTGTGATGGTGAGTGAGTGAGTGAGTGAGGTTGACATGCTTTTAGCAATTTTGCAACCATAGCAACTAACATGCTGACCCTTCCTACCTTACATGTGACAATCTGTTTGTTTGTTTGGCGTTACCACCACCGTGTACACTGTTGTCTGAAATTACTGATGCAGATTCAGTTCTTCTCTTAGAGGATCCGGTCTGTAAATAATCGATTTTGGACCAGATGTTCATGCTGTTGATCACTGGATTGTCTGGTTCAGACACAATTATTTACAGACAGCCGCCATTGGAATATTGCTGATTGCAGCGTTAAACATCAAGTTAACCAATCTTAGAAAGAGAGAGAAATCCTTCAATGAAGTATTACTCTTGCTCGTCAGCTCATTTCTAGACAAAGAATAATGGCTGACAAGATAATGACAGTTTGTGTTTACAGGTGATCCCCTGTCACCTGGATGCAGTGTTTATGACCTACTCATGCCACAAGAGGCCAGGACGTGATGGTCTCACAGTCCAAGTTTGTCGCAGTCCCTGAACCACATTATTTTCCCTCCTGCCTAGTCCTCCCCACAGTGCTAAAGCCGTAAATGAAGCAAGTCTAGATTTCCCCAGGTCCTCCCAACTCGCTGGGGCTCCTTTTCAATTTATATGGGATTATTTGTTACTATCAAACTTACAAGAATGGCTCCAAATTTCACCAAACCAGGGAATCGAACCAGATCATGATTTGCCACTGGGCAACCTGAACACCTCTTACCTCGAACCCTCTTGTAGGAGTGAGTCAGTGAGTTTAGTTTTATGCCGCTTTTAGCAATATTCAAGCAATATCATGGCGGGGACACCAGCGATGGGCTTCACACATTGTACCCATGTGGGTAATCGAACCCCGCGTGAAGAGGGAACGCTTTAACCACTAGGCTACCCCGCCGCCCCCATCTTGTTGGAATATTCCACCGATATCATTTTTGTTTGTTGTTTAATGCCACACTCAGCAGTAATTGAGCTATATGGCAAGTCTGGACTAGACAATGCAGTGATCAACAGCTTGAGCATCGATCTACAAAATTAGGGATACGATGACATGTGTGAACCATGTCCAGATCTGACCCAATCATATTAGTCTCGTCTTAAGACTAACAAGGGTTGCTGAAAACCAATTCTAACCCAGCGGATGATATCAAGCCTGGGAATATAAAAAATGGTAATTGTACTGAAGTAGGGAGTCAAACCCTGATAAAACAGCCATAAAAAACACATCCTCCACTAGGCTACCCTACAACAATTAAGTGAGTGAGTGAGTGAGTTTGGTATAAGGCAACTTTTAGCAATATTCCAGCAACATCACGGTGGGGAACACCAGAAATGGGCTTCACACATTGTACCCATGTGGGGAATCGAACCCGGGTCTCCAACATGAAAAGCGAACCACCACCACCACCCCTACAGCAATTAAGAGAAATAAATAGTTTTTATGATTTTCTATAAAGCAACAACAGTTGAAATATTGTCAGTCATGGCGACAAACGTGACAATAAAACTTCGCCATTATGACTTCCAGGTATATGAATCCCTGTAGTGCAGAAGGTGCACAATATGCCATTCCCAGTGCAAACAATGGGAGCGGGGACATACGTCAGGACAAAAACACTCAACACTTCATGCACAAACATCATAAAGCCTACATTCTATTCTCAGGATTAATCCAACCATTTCCAA